CATTACCAAAACAGGGCATTACAATAGAATGGACAGCTGGTTTTGTATCATTTATTGCGCAATGCCGAACCTAAACCATCTCTTACGGACAATGCCGCTTTCTGTTATTCAGACATCGGCGGTAATGCATGATGTGTTTCGCCAACTGTTTGGCATTTATTCCGAAGACTGGATACCCAATTTGCACGGTGTGCCACACAATACGTGGGTCCGCCAAAAGGCCACTTCCATTGCATCTCGGTGGTGTAAGGTTTCGCAATTCGGCACGAACGCCTTCTGCAACACATTGGGCAAATCGAGCGGATGTCTCAGCAAGCTTGATACGTAAATTTCAAACGATTGGTGTGTATTATCCTTCGTTATTTAACGGCAACGCGCATGGGATCACAAAATAAGCCACAATGTCTACTAGCCGCGGAATAAGCAAGGATTGCCCTTGCTGCGCATGGGTGGGCTGATCGGCCTACGTGATCCCATCTCGCAGCCAGTGTTTGCTCACCGGACCCTCCAGAAAATAACACCTTCGGTGAATGGAAGTGCGGATGGCAGTATTAGAAATCCTATGCGTTTGAACGGTATTCGTACCATGGATTGCTTCATCTTCTGGCACGGCCCATTCGCGGCTAATTCGCTCCTGGTCTGCCCTACATCAGACAAGATTGCGATGAAGAACGATACGACGCTGGTACCGCCGGGAACTCATAGAGCTTCCTTGCCATGAATGTGAATGGCACGCGCAAAAATCTCGCATTAGCTTTCATCTGGGAGAACCAGAGCTCCATCGCAGGCCTGCAGCTTTAGTTAAGTTAAGCGGATCATCGACACAAGGTGACACGTGACTCAAGACTGGGCATTACAATTGCGCGTGATACACTACATACACATAGACATGCAAACTTTGCGTCCATTTTAGGACCGTCTGGGGCCCTTTTGGGTCTCTCTTGGGCTGTGTTGGGGCTCCGCGGGGGCGTCTGGAACACTGTGAAAACGAAGCCAGCGAGTATGCCGAAAACGCACGTTTTACGAAGGAAAAGGGCATATTTTTGCCTCTTGAAGGCCCTCTTGGGGCCCTCTTTGGCCATCTTCAAGCCATCTCGGGCCCTCTGGGGCCTCGCTGAGGCTGTCCTGCGGCTCAGTGTGGGGCCCTGGGGGCCCGGAAGTAATGTTCCCGGAGAGGCTTCCGGGAACATGATTTCGAACGGGGCCCTCTTGGGCCTCCCTGAGGCCGTCTTGGGGGCCTCCTGGGCCTTTTGGGCCGTCTTCGGGGGTGCCGTGAGCCCCACAGGCCGACCCTTTTGGGCCGTCTGGGGCCCTTTTGGGTCTCTCTTGGGCTGTGCTGGGGCGCCGCGGGAGCGTCAGGGGCACTGTGAAAACGAAGCCAGCGAGTATGCCAAAAATGAACGTTTTACGAGGGAAATGGGCAGATTTTTGCCTCCTGAAGGCCCTCTTGGGGCGCTCTTGGGCGTCTCTGGGGCCTCGTCAGGCTTCGTGACCATCTGTACGGCCCGCATGGCCTGTCGTGGGCAATTTGGAAGCGGCCCGGGGCAGTCCCTGGGGGTCTGTGACCCCCCAGAGGTTCGGGGGGGCCCCCTATGAGGGATGACGGCCTCGATTTTGCCCTCCCCCGGCCTATATATGTGTATATATACACACATATATATATGTGTGTATATATATATATAGAGAGAGAGAGAGAGAGAGACGTATGCACGTATGCATGTTTGTAAGGGGGTCTGTACGTATGTAAATACATGTGTAGGCATGTATGTATGTATGTATGTATGTATGTATGTATGTATGTATGTATGTATGTGTGTATGAATGTACGGAATTATCTATATATGCAAACATTGTACATGCTTTAATAACATACAATATATACACATATATATATATATGTATATATATGTATTGCAATATACCTAACATCCGGATGTACATTGTTCGGGATTATGCATATTATGGTTTTGCATTGCCCCAGAATTCGGTCGTTAGAACACGGTACGTTCTGCTGATGTGTTACGGTAATTCCGCCTTCGGTTTTCGTGGCAACCTTGGGGCGAATCAGGTCGGGAACGTTCAACATCGAATCCATTCGAAAAATGGATCGTCGCTGCGCAATGCGGGCGAATCTGGCCAGAAGTGTTCAACGCCAGATATTGTCGAAGTAGTTTCTCCTTGCGGCGCCCTGCAATCAGACCAGGCTGGGAATATCTGAAACCAAAAATGCTCGAAATCCAGTCTCCCCGAGACGTCATGCGGACGGACCTGGCCAGGAACGTTAACAATCATACGTCTTCGCAATAGCCCAACCAGCCCTCTGAACGTGAGTGGTTTAGGGCGTTTCCTCTTCCATCTTCCCTACTCGCCTTCGGAGAATGATTTCCTCCCCCTGGGTTTGGAGGAAACGTTTCGCGAGGTGGCGGGGCGTCCAATATGGCCCAGACGAGGAAACTGAAACCATGTATTGTTCTCCAATGTTGGCCATCTTTTGGCCTTGGTGCGGAAACCTAATTTACGACGGCCCAGGAGGCCCCCAAGAGGATCCCAAACGGCCCAGAGAGGCCCCCCCGAGGCACCCCAGACGCCGAAAAGCCCCTCGGGACGACCCTCTACTCGCCTGGGCGTCGTTTCTGGACGGGCTGGCGGGGATACGCGAGGCGTCTAGAATTGACGTGCTCGGCACGGGCGGAGATCACGTCGAAGGCCACAGAGGGTATGAGAGGGCCCAGTGACTACCTCGGCAGGTCCCTGAAACTGCCCAAGAGGGCCTCGGGAGGGGCCGAAGGTCATCCCTGACGCTCAGAAGAAAACCACAAGGGACCAAGGACAACCCAAAGCAGCCCCAAGACAATCTAAGAATGCCACCAGGAAGCTCCCACCCAAGAGGGCCCACAGAGAACCGCAAACGACGGATAAAGCTGGGACGTGCACTCCGTCCCTGGCTGCGTCAAAAAATGCATGAGGCCAAAGAAAATTTGGCGCCCAAGAGGGAACTCGCCAAGAAAGCCAAAGAGGCCCGAATACCAACCCACGCGGCACCAACAACCATACAACATACACGTGCTGCGAAGAGGTTTTAGGATCCGCCACCGCGCCGTAGACACTGAATTTAATCAAATCGTCCCTTCGACTTCTCTATATCAAGAAACGTGTAGACTCTTCCAGGGACCAATTGGCCGGATTTAGGAGCGCTTTTCGGCGCTTTTGAGGCTTGTCGCATTACTGTTCTGGAGGCATCGGGAACGTGGTTTGGAGTCAACACCTTCAAGATTGCCTAATATGGTCACAGGCCCTGTCCTGGACTCTCTTGGGCGCCTCTTGGGCAGTCTTGGATGCCCTGGGGGCTGGCCCAAGAGGCCAAAGCCACTGAACAACCTAAAGTTTCTGCAGGATTGACATACTTCCCTTTTCGTCCGAGACGCTCCAAGAGGCCACCAAGATCGCGCCAAGGCGGCCTCTGAGAACACCAAAATGGCCACGAACCCCCAGGACGACCCCAGGAAGGACCCTAAAGGGGCAGCACGAACTGAAATTTCGAGCCCTTTCCTACAATATGGTTCTCGAAACCGGCAGCGGGCCCTCAAGAGGCCCCCAGGGGCCGCCAAGAAGCGCCCAAGAGCTCCGAAGAGGCCCCTAAGAGACCTTGATTGGACCTCCAATGGGCCCCCCGCCAAAGGCTCGCAAAGGTCCCCAAGAAGTCTCCGAAAAGGCCACCAAGAGGCTTCCACGAGGCCTCTTGCCCACGACCCGGACGTTTGCGGGATGAGTCGAAGGCCATTCTATCCCTTGCCCCCGTAGCCTACTGTTGGCTCTTGAAACATGTTCCTTGCTCTCCAGCTCCAGCCCAACCCGACAGCCAGACGGAAGCTACAACACAATCAAGACAATCCTCCTCCGACATGGCCAAGATAGCCCAAGATGGCCTCCAAAACCGTCGAATATTTGCTTCACGACGGTCCAAGACGCCTCCAAGACGGTCAACATGGCCCCAAGACGGCCCAATGGGCCAATAATACGCCCCAAGAGGCCTCCAACCGCATCCCAAGAGGTCAGTCAGTCAGTGGAGCCGCGCCGCACGGCGCATCGGCTAGACAGCACAGGGCTAATTACATCAGTTCTGGTGCACAAGCTCTCAGAAAACATACGCCTGGGCAACGCTTCTCCACTGAGCCCTGCCCGAGCTCGTGCGGCACACCAAGAGGGCGCGACCAACATGAAAAAACACGGATTGATCTCAAGTTAATGAATGATTCCGGTGCTCGGCCTGCAAGAAGGCCAAGATGGCCGAAAGTGGCCTCAAGACCGCCCCAAATGTCTCGAATACGGCCACAGATACCCCCAAGAGACCACCCAGAGGCCATCAGGGGGCCCCAAGAGGCCACATCCTTTTCCTCACTCTCCTCCTTCTCCTGCACCTCCTCGTCCTCGTTCTCTCTCTCTCTCTCTTTCTCATCCTCCAAGCGCTCCTTCCCCCAAGGGCTTCCACAACGGCTGGGGCAAAACTTAGTCCAAAAGCTTGGCCCATCATTGGCCCTGCGGTTGCTACCATTGGCGCTTCGACCACAGATGGCGGCGGTGACTCGACGTGGGCATCTTCGATAAGCGAGCTTTTGACCACAGATGGCGCAAGCGACTGAGTCGGAGGCGTCATGCTCAAGGTCCACACCCGCGTCAAAATGGCTTGACAAATGTGGACGCAAGCGTCACTGCGGCTGATCTGCACTTGCATTCCGCAACGGGCTCCTACTCCCACTCCGACTACTTCTCCCCCTTTCCCTCCTCCCCCTTGGGCAGAGACCGTGGTGACGCAGGAGCGCGCCCGAACTGCGGCGGAGCCTCTCGACTTCGAACTATTCGTCGGCCTGCCCAGGCGTGCTTGGTTGCGCCTGGCCGCCTTGATTATTAACGCCCATGGGGGACGGAAGTAGAGGAAGAGATGCGCTCTTCAATACGTCGACTGGGGCCCTGGCAGACTCTGCAGTGAGCCTCGCGCAGCCTCACCAAGTCGGCGTCCAGATTTCGCCCTTCTGAGGGAGGTCCGGGCCGTTGGTACGCCAGTCGTAGGGCAGCCACTCGAACTTTGCCTTCTCACCGCCCTGCGCGATGGAGGCGGTCAGGAGCTCGCGTTTGGGGCCCTGTGCATACCTCAGGATCCACTCGACGATCGCCACCCAGCTCTGCCTGCTGCCAGGCTTCACTCCTGAAGGGGCAGAAAACTATACATATACATAAGCTTTCGGAGCTCCGCGCGGCTTTCGTAGCGCCAGAGGCGACGCTGGAGACGTTGCCAGGGGAGCCCAGCGCAGATCCACGAAATTCGCGTGGACCTCCGAAAGCTTATGCTTCTGCAGTTACCAGGCTCAGCACAAACCAAGCTAAGCCAATTTAGAAATGCGCTGAGTCTTGGGGGGAGGCTTACCAAACGCGGCTCAGCCAATATGTAAGGCCACCTCCTTGGCTGCGAGCGGCTCTCAAAGCCAGCTCAACCAAACTCCGCCCTTGCAGCATCATGCAGAATCCGGAGTTATGACTGAGCCCCGTTTGCGCTGAACCCCGTTACGTGCGCCCTGCCCCGATTTGCTCTTCTTCGAGCTCCGGTGCCGATGAAATCACTCAGGTACATCTTGAACAGCTCCGTGCACGCTACCTCCACCCGCCCGCCTGAGCTCCTGGACACGCGCACATTGCCGTCGTCGGCGACGAAGGCGGCCACCGCTTGGTCCAGCTCGGCGTCGAGGCTCGCCTCCTCTCGGGACGGGCAGAACCAATGAGGGGAAATGTTTGGGGGGACCAGCTCAGGGGGAAAACCGTTGCCCCTGCACCCAATGGGACGGCGACGTTCGTCCCTGTCTTTCTTGAGTGGGGGAGAAGGGGTCAGGTTTTTGATCGGCGCGGCAGAGCGTCGAACATTCGACGTTTTCTTTGTATTTTCGTCGAGGCAATCAATTTTAGGGTCGCTCAATTTTGCAATCGATCCCCTACTCGGAAGCTCTGAAACGCACGCAGTACCGCCGTGCCTGGCCAGGGCCATCCTGGATCCCTGGCATGGTGCACCCCCCTTGGCCGATGCCAAAAGGGGGTCTGTACAGCATCCCAGGGACGAAGAAATCGATGTGAACACAAATCTGTCGGAGATCCGCGATGATTTCCTGGATCGGTGCTGGCTCCCGCTCCCTGGCGCGCGGAACGCGCCAAGGTCGGCGCCGGAGGTGCAACCAAGGAAGGGTCAACGCCAACCCGAGAAATCCGTGTGGACTGTCGAGCTTCCACACAAATAGGTTGATGGTTTTTTCCTGCAGAAAATAACCCTGGCTGGGTGTGGTGGTTGAGGCTCTGTACACGTGCGTCTTCTGCATAATAAGACAAGGCGGGGATGAGGAGGGGGAAAGCAGGGATGATGAGGAGAAGAAGAAGGAGGAGGAGGAGGGGGGGGAGGACGAGAACGAGGAGGAGGAGGAGGAGGAGGAAAGGAATGACGAGGAGGAAGGGGCGGAGGAGGCGGAGAAAAAGTGGCGTGAGTTTCAGCTGGCGTTCCTCGCTCGAATAAACAGACACGGCTGGGCAGCCGCGGGCGCCGCAATTCAACGCCATGTGGATCCGGGGGTCGACCTCTCGGGTGTAGCGAAGAGGGGGAGGCCAGGAAGAGGGAGGGTGAGCCGAAGAGGGAAGGCCCCTCCTCATCCTCCTACTCCTGCTGAACGAATATAGGAACCTCTGGCTGACAAAAAACAATCGCACTTCAACTACACTTCAATGGCATTGGACAAGCATGCAAAGCTGTCCGAAGCGTATCGGGCAAGCTAACACCCTCACCCAGTCGCACGGCCATGATCTGACACATCCCTCGGGCAATTTTGGCCGAATGAGGCGATGGGGGTACATTTTAAATTTTGCAAACTGGGTATGGCGCTAACAACGTTGATAATAAACAATCGAAGCAATGTGATACAACAGACGGCTACAACTGTGAACCCGAGGCTATACGACGCACTGTGGCGAATCCACGATTGTATGATAATTGGAGAAACAGCTGGCGCAGGCAAAAAGCAACGATGGCTTGGGTCTATGGGGCAAGGGCCTCCTCCAGCGCGACGCGCTACTGTAAGTCTCGCGAGGTCCAAGGGCTTACAGCATGTTTGCACTTTCGTGTGGCGAGTGAAGACGAGCGCCTGGTCTCAATTGATCCTGGGCTCAGTCAAATCTTATCAGCCGAATGGCACGCAACGGTAGTTTTAACCCTTGTTGAGCTGGCAATTTGTAGTAGGTGCCGGCTCGTGTCTTCCGCTAGCGATATGTGGATTTGTACCTCGCATGTGCATTGACATGTCGTCCCTGCTCGCGTACTTGGTCAAAGCATCTGCAATATTCAACTGTGCTTCTGCTATAGTCAAACTGATGTCTCCTCGTCCGACCTGCTCTCGTTGCCAAATCCGACAACCTCGACGTGTCTGACTTGTCCTTGTCCCCGCAGGCTTGCGCAGAGAGTGGCCGCTCTGGCGTCCCGCTTTAGTGCGATGCCGCAATCAATGTTGTAATACTTGGGAACTGCTCGTAATCTACCACAAATGACCCGCTTCCACCATTCTGCAATTCTCAACTTCTCCAAAAGATAGTGCTGCGACGCTCTGAGTCGAACGCCACGATTGCATCGCATGTGTTCCCCGCAAGACTGTCCCTCTCCTTGTCGATTTACGTGTCCTCGTGCATCTAGCGCAGTCAGTGCCAGTCCTCGCCGTTAACTCACGTGGGCGTTCCTGATTGAAGTGCTGGTATCCACGCCCGTCGTCATTCCTGAGGTGCTTGTCCAGCTTCGCGAGGTTTTCCCGTGCCCTGCGGGTCGGGGCCGATATAGAGCGCGCAAGCCCGTTAACTGAAAACTGCATGTCCGAGCGGCCCTGTACGAGATGCATGGCCCGAGCCCCCGCGGCTAGGTACTGCTTTGACTTATGGTCGGGTCGGGCTTCCTCATATACTTCTTCGTGCGGCTGCATGTCGCCTGACGTATCAAATCTCACTCTGCATTGCTCCAAGCCTAACATCTATTTAAAGCGTGTCGCAGCAAGCCGTTGGCCCCCCTCGCGACGCGCCCCCATCCCGGCTCCATCCCACAATTCTGTTGAGAATCCGGATCGGCCCCCCATCACTTGGCTCTGGCCCGAGTCTGCCCCGAATTTGTTTCTCCTACGAACCAGCCAACCCCAAATGTCATCACCCGACGAAGTAGCATCGTCTTCATGGGCTCCTCGCCAGGTCCGTCATGTCATGCGTTTTAATGCGCATGTAATGTCCATGTATCTTGACGGTCTGTCCATGTGCTGGCGGCGCCCCGAGTGCTATGCGCCCACTTCAAGCGTTGTCCACGCATGCCTGGTGCGCAATCTTCTTCGGGCAACCCCATATAAAGACTTTCTCCTTCGCCTCGGCGTAAATCTCTGCTCGCCAACCCTTCCCCGCGCCCCCCGCGGTCATGCCCTATTCCTTCGGTGGCTGTCATGGAGGAGCGACAATTTCTGAGCTTGCAACGGAGGGGTGGCTACAAATCTGTTCTTTTCTTTGGATTGTTCTGAGCCTGCTGGGCTACGAACCGGGGCCCGCGCTCGCGATTGGCCTCGTCATCATTGTTAATACTTGTCCACCTCGTACCTATGGGGGCTTGCCAGCCGCGGCCTCACGTTCCCCCCCTTCGCATTCTCGCGGGCCCGGTGCTTCCTGAATTGCCCCGTCCCCCCTTCCCGAGCTTCTCGCGCGAGTCCTGGATCGGCGTCGCCCCCGAGTGCGTCGCCCCGCGCGCGCGGCCATCTTCGCAATGGATTGCGCATGCGTCGCCTCTGGTCACGGGCCGCGCCTCGTCAATGCTTCCGCGCCCCTCGCGCGCCGCTGGAACTTTCAAACGCTCCTGTTTCTGGCGCGCGTCGCGGGTCCGCCGGCGAGGTTTGATGTCCTGGGTGGCGCGGTTGGCTCCTCCTCAGAATATCTCCGCCGCTCCTCTCCTCTCATCTTGCCGACGCCCCCTGTCCTCGAGCGCCCGACGGGCGCCCGCGTCCTGACGAACTCCGCGCAAGCGCGCGCTCCATGTTGGCCCTGAATTCCCTGGAAGCAAAACAAGAGACGCGATGCGCCGTGGTCTTGTCTGGCCCAGGCTAACGCGGCCCATGTCCACGCGCGCCCACCTCGCGCCCGCTCTCATTGATTTCCATGCTTCGCCCGATGCAATTCCATGGGCCTCGGGGGAATGTCGTGAATGAGCGCCCTGGTTGGACATGGGCCGTCATCTGGTTAGCTGAGCCATCGACTATAGCTCGACAAATAAGGTCCGGATATACCGCTGACCTTCTTGTTATGCCTCCTCCGGTTAACTCGGCATGTCTGCGCTGGCCTTGCCGCGTCGCGCTGGGGGACTTGCCGATGCGAGGGCCGTTGGTCGCGGGCCGCGCGGGCTTCTTCGCGCGCGTCTCCTTGCCTCTTGTCGCCAGCATTATTAATCGGGCGTTGGTAGAACTGGGTTTAGTGGAACCTGGTTTAGCAATATGTGCCAGGGGCGCCCCCCTGTCCCATTTCCACTAGCCGGAACTGCCGTTGGCCGGAAAAACACCAGCTATGGCAGACCTGGCTTAATGATTCTGGCCAATTCGAAAGCTCCGGGGCCCTATCACTAACGGGGCCCCCTTTCCCCGGGCCCTGGCCATGCCCGAATCGAGCCCCTATGGCAGCGCAAGTCGCCATCGCGTGTCCGCGCGCTCCCTCGCCTAACATCCCCGGCGCCGGCGCCGCGGCCCAGCGCGGAGCACCCGCGGGGCGATCAAAAAGGAAACGCTGGATCTCGCATTTTCAATACGAACATGAAGCGCTCAATCCCGTCGTCTTACCTTGCCTTTATCTGTTCTAGCCCTGGCCGTTTTGAACGGCGCACCTGTGACCTGCTGATGGCTGCGCGCATTGGACTTGCGATCAACGGTCAGGCCACTTGCTTTGGATGGTCTACTTCGCGTTTGCCCGGGGGGTCGCCGTGCTCATCGCGCGCAGCCATTTCCATCGCCCGCCCCGGCACGGGCCCCATCTTCTCCGCCAAGCCGGCAACCCGCGCTGGAGAGTGGGTCTCGAAGACGTGCGATTCCACATCGCGCTGGCCTTTGCCGCGTAATTTCGCCCACCTGATTTCATTGTCCGATTTAATGGTGTCCTGTTTTAATGACGCCCAAATCGGCGCGGGGCAACCGCGCCGCCGCTTCGGCGCCGAGCCCCCGTCATGCTTGGCCCAATGCGTACTTCCCTCATCAGCGTTCATGTCGTCCGCGTCTTCGTCTGCGTGCTCGGGCATGCGTCCGCGCGTCTTCTCGCCGCCCGGCCCCTGGCCGCGACCTCGAGGAGGACCTCCTCGTGCAACGTCTCCTCATCCTCGTCGTCTTCCTCTCCGACTTCGGCGGCTCTCATCGCCGCCGAATTCCTCGGCCGCCCCCTCTGCCGCCGGCGACCTAAGTGAACTGACGTCGACTGGTCGCGCGTCGTCGTCGCCTCCAGAGATAGCGCGGGGCAAAATCCATCCAGCGCAAGGTCCTCGTGCATGTCTCCCACTGTTTTGCTGCCGTCGGTCGCGCCCCCCATCTCGCCCGTGCCCTGATAGATCGCGCGCGTAGTCTTTCGCTGCTCGGCCGCATGGGGTCTCATTGATGCGTCTATAGGTGATTGCATTCTGGCACTGAGCTTCCAGCACGGTCGATTGGCAAGCCCGTCTTTCGAAGCCCAGCTGCCTTGAAATGTGTCTTCCTTATGCTCGTCTAGCCTGGCGCCGTCGGGCCCCGCCCTCACTTGGGCCGCCGCTTGCCCTTCCAGAGTGCTGGGGTCGTCTTGTCCTGCAAGCCGCTCGATGAACATGTCTCGACTTTCTGGGCATCGGCGCGCGCGCGGCACCTCCCCTGACTATGGATTCGCGGCCGTGGCGCCCCTGCGTCGGCCCCGCGGCCGTGCGGCCCGACTTCTTTGCGGCGGTCCCTCGGGCCACTGTTGGCGCGGAGCCCTGGTCAGGCAGCGCCGTGGGTAACGTCGCCCTGGCTTGTGCGGCCCACTCCAAGCGCGTTGGAACTTGGTTGCTAGGGTAAGCCAATCATATTGTAACTCATGCAAGATTACATCTCTCCTCCTCGCTTCCTGTTGCCTGAACTCGTGGGATGACATGGCCCAGTCCTGGGCGCCGATGATTATGAACTCCCGGCGTGCCCCGTGTGCCCCAGGAAGTATTCCACCCCCAAAATTGCGCCCAAGTCGTTGCTTCCCATGTTAGAGGGGGGTCTTCAGATGCATGGCGCATTTCCCAAGCGCGGGCGACGCCTCGTCAAATTTTGGGGCCCCGGTACCTCTCGCGGGCCTTTCGGCGCAAGCGTCGATGGTGAACCTGTTCATGGGGGAGGGCGCGTAGGCAACTGACCGAGGTGTGAGCGCATGTTCTTCCCCGAACTCAACAGTGCACTTGTCGTCCGCAGCGCTCTCTAGCGTCCTGATTTGACCGTCTATGGTCCATGGTTCTTATCGCCACTGCCGTTTGCGTGGGGGTCTCCGACGGGACGGGGCTACCCCCACCCCCCCCTAAGTCTAGGTCGCGCGCAACTTTGATGGCCTCTTGGAGACCCGTGATGGGCGACTGACTATCGCTTGTGAAGATTGTTGTGCCGTGGCCGGGCGAACAG